AGATAAGTCTGACAAATTAAATGTAGAACAAACATTATACTCACTTTTTATGGCTAAATAGCTCTGTTTCACTTCAAGTGTTTCACTCTTCTTTTGATCACTTTTTTTCCTCTCAAGTGTTTCACTAACGCTTTCTTTCTCTCTCTTTTCTTGAAGAAGTTTTTCTTTCATTTTCTTTTTATCCTCACATACTTCTTGTGGACTCAAAGGTTTGAGCACAATCTTCTTGTCTTGGTGTATGAAAGAAATCTTGTTAGTGAACCCGTTATGATTAACCCTTTTATCAAATTGCCATGGTCTCCCCAAAAGTAAATGACTGACTTCCATAGGAATAATATCACAAAGCACCTTATCATTGTATTTTCCAATGGAAATGTCCACTTCAACTTGTTGTCTCACTTGCACCTCTCCATCCTTACTAAGCCATTGGAGTTTATATGGCCTAGGATGTGGTTTGGTAGCTAAATTTAGCTTTGATACTAATCTAGCACTAGCCACATTGGTGCAACTACCTCCATCTATGATCATCATGCACACCTTGTCATTGATTAAACATCTAGTGTGAAAAATATTTTTTTCTTTGGTTTTCTTCCATAGGTTTCAATTGACTATCAAGTAATCGCCTAATCATCAATAAATCTCCCTTTGGAATTTCTTCCTCCTCCTCAATGTCTTCACTCTTTTCTCCCTCTTCAACCTCAGATTCACTTATATATTCTCCCTCTCTAAGAATCATGGTCTTTGTGTTAGGGCACTCATAAGCATAGTGTCCTAGGCCTTGACACTTGAAACACTTCACATCTCTACTTTTTTTAGAGGGTTGTTCTTCATATTTTGAATGAGTCTTTGTAGGAATAGGTGTGGAACTATTAGAAGTAACAGTCCCATCTTTTTTGCCTTTGTCCTTCCAACTTGAAAATCCAAAGTTGGTAGAACTTTTCTTAGTCACTTCTTTTCTTTTGAGTTGTTGCTCCACTCAAATTGCTTTATGAAGTAAATCCTCCATATCAACAAACTCCTGCAACTCAACAATATCACATATATCAATATTCAAACCACCATAAATCGGGCCATAGTTACCTCTTCATCTTCTTCAATCTTTGCTTGAATCATGAGCATGTCCATTTCTTTGAAATACTCCTCAACCCCCCTGTTGCCTTGAGTAAGTTTTTGGAGTTTAAATTTCAAGTCCCTTGCATAACTAGCTGGCACATACCGCTTCCTCATGATCCTTTTCATCTCAGTCCATGTATTAACCATTGACTCTTCATTTCTATCTCTCTCCTTTTGTAGCTTGTTCCACCAAACAAGAGCATAGTCAGAAAATTCTGTTGTTGCAAGCCTCACCTTTTGGGTCTCCTCATAATTGTTGCATGAGAAAACATGCTCTATTTTCATCTCCCACTCCAAGTATGTTTCTGGATCACTTTTTCCTTTGAACGGAGGAATGTTAAGCTTGACCCCTTCAAGCCTACTTGGTCTTGTTACTCCATCATTCATTCTCCTATTTCTCCTTTCTTCTTCGTCTTCAGGATTTCTATTCTCCAACCGGTTCAATCTTTCATAGAGCTCATTGTTATGTCGTATCATTAATCTTTCCAAATGTTGTACCAATACTCTCATTTGAATTGGACTAATTCCTACTTCTTGATTGTAATTTTCCTCTTCTGCCATCAACTTAATGTTCAAACCTTTAAATCAGAGCTCTGATACCAAATGATATGAATCACAAGGGGTAATTTAGGATCTTTAGGGTTAAAACATTGTAAGAAATTTAGGAATTAGAAAGAAGGTGGAAGGAAAGAATCACTCTTCCCAAGGGAGGCAACACACAAAGGATGTGACAGTCCTTTGATACAGCCAAGGGTTCTTGAATCACTCAAGAATTTAGGAGAATCACTCTCACTAAGATAAAAGAGATAAACTCTAATATTTCTGAATAAAATTTCACTTGTTATTTCTTGATAAGAATGGTTCAGCTGATATAGAAGCATTGCCATTAGAATTACAAAAGACTCAATAAAAGAAAATAAATACTAATAATAACTCATTAATCTAGGAATTGAAAACTATTTAATGGAAACAAATAAAGGCTAATAATGATCCATTAACCTAGGAATTGAAACTACTTAATGACTGATTGTATCTGAAACTGTGGCAACCAAAAGTCAATCAGCTATGCACCCATTGGTCTCCCAAAGGCTGATGACTAAATTTTCAATTGGGCCCTTATTACAACTTAAAACAAAATCAAACTAAAGTCCATTAATTGATTAATCCAAAACACAATTTGGTCAACCAACAATACTTGTTGAAGAGCTTCCTTTGTTTCCCTTGCTCTAACCCTTATCATAGGTCATGTTCACATCAACTGTTGTGACAACATATTAACCATCTCAAAATTGCTTTCATCCATTTGTTGTCTAAGTACTCCTAATGAGTTACTGGAGATTCCAGTACTAGCATTTTCGATAGTCTTGAAATTGAACCGATGATAATCTCTATCGAATGTATATCTCCCTTGATCCAGATTTGCTCTGTGATCTAGGTTTAGAGGTGTCTGTTGTGTACCTAAATTCTGCACGCTCCCTAAATTCTGGGGGTTTACTGAATTTTGAGACGCCCCTAAATTTGGAGATACTCCGAAATTTTGCGGCATACCTAGAGTTTGAAATGTACCTAAGTTTTGAGGCATTCCTAAGTTAAATCTCGAATTTCGTTGTACTGGAGAAGTACCAGCCCCACTCATATTATTAAGCAAAAAACCAGGTGGTCTTACGCTCATATACGGTCCTGCATATGTTGTTATGGGGCTCCCCATAGTTTGCATATTGTTTGGTATCACAGTACTGAATCCTACTTGAGTATTTGTTAATGTAGTTGAACTTTGTTCATTACTCACAGGTATCGACATACCTACGGTTGTCGATACTACAGGCATATTCTCATTATGCCCTTGCCCCCCAGTGTTTGGTGGATGTGAACCATTCAGACTGTTCAAACCCTCACTGTTACTCTGGTTATTTGGTGGATTCTGACTCATTCTTATTACTCGCTCACTCCTTAATCTCATACACTTTCGAACTAACCAATTTTGTGTTTTTTTGACACAAATACCCCTACCTGGCGCGCCAATTTGTTTCTGGTGGAATTTTGATCGATTTCGATTTCTAGGGAATTTTGTTCTAACCAAATTCCAACCACGTAGATTCTTTTTACTTAGGCTAGCAAATGGTTTTCAATCGAAATATGTATGAGAATCGAAAATCCTATAGTACCACAAATCTTAATGTAACCTAATGACAATCGAAAGCGCTATTTTTTGTATTTTGTATTTAAAGCACTCGAAGTAAAGAAAACAGTAAATGTCAAATCGAAAAGCAGTACAGAATATAAAGCTGTGAAAAAATGTAAAATACGGAAACCTCAAATTTGCATTAAGTGTAAACGACAAAGAATCGAAATTACAGAAATGTAAATAGCAGGAAATCGAAATTGCATAAATGTAAATAGCAAAAAACTTAGATGCATAATCTTAAATGGTCAGATAACAAGGAATCGAAAGTACATGAATTTAAAGTTGCTTGAACGTAAACTGCATCAAAGTAAATTACATGAACATAAATTACCAAGGAAAGTAAAGAAAGCGGTACAGATAATCAATGAAAATGGAAATCCAAATCGCCAGAAACTTCATGATTGCGTCGTTCTCCGGTAGACTTCTCACTAGTATTTCTGTTCTCTCTGCCAATTTCCCTTCTTTTCCCGTCTTCGCTCTATTTATAGAGCATCCTTCAAGTAACCTCCCAAGAGTGGTTAATACCACTATCACCACGATCTTACGTACCCGTTCCTTTAGTCTTACCGTTTTAAAAACTGCATTTCACGTTCTTACGTATAAGGGAACTGCTCCTCCTTCGATTTCTGTCGCGGTTTAGAAACTGTTTCCCACGTTCCCTGTGTGTGTTAACCGCTCCCTCGATCTCGATTTCAGACATCGAGTATTTTGAATTTTGCTTTTGATTCCCTTTAATTTTGTACTATTCTAACTTCAACAATAGGCATCGAAATTCGTTTCTTCGATTCTCAATTTTGATTCTCGATATACTTTTATTTTTTGTGGTTACCAGCTTTTACCAATTTTATCAAAAATACGTTCTCGATGTCTTTTACCAATCGTATGGTCTTCGATTTTTTCTTTCCTTCATTTTTCAATCCCTTTATCGATTTCCCATTAACAATACGTTCCAAGATAACGTAGTCTTAGAAGCCACCCAAATGGAGTAAAACAATTATTGGATGAACTTTTAATGAAAATTCTAAGGAAAACAACCTTCATATGGGAGATCAAATAAAAAAACAGGGCAGGCATCAACCACTTAGAAAACATCGTCAAAACTCGTAGGTACCAATTGTTTTACCAACTTAAGGTACCTAGCTGCCTGATGCATCAATACTTCAATATTCGAGTTTTAGCAAATACACACTAAAATTATAAGAAAAGCCCATCTACTAGAAAAGTCTGTTGCCCCGCTGAAACTTTTGAGATTCAAACAGCATCCAATCGGCTCTGTTTGGAGGAAATCCATTTGAATCGCTGCAAACGGATTTTTGCACTTTATAAAACACCCAAACGGGACACACGTTTTTGTGTCTTTTCGTCTCAATGTTGTTTACAAGTTTTCAAGTGAAAACCAAATCAAACACACACTAAGTGCCAGATCACTGTTTGACAAGCCACAATATAACTGTGCTGTAATTGTTAGGTACCCTATGATGGTGCAACAGATGAGATCTCACCAAACAGATTTTTCTAATAAATTCCTGATTTATCCGGACACAAAAAACAAGTTCTTTGGAACATCAAAATTTTACAACTATTTTCCCCTTTCTTTACAGTTGGAAAACAAGAAAAATTACATTTCTAATCAAGTTTATCCTATAAAAAAAGATAATGAGGTACACCATGCAATAAAAATGTTTTGAACATACAGATCCCATCATCTCCCACCAGACAACTCGATGGCATCTTGATTATAGACAGAATCTTCTCCCCAATCAAATCTTCTTTGTAATCTCTCGTATTCTTGCCTCCGATTGACCTCCACATGCTGCCATTCCTCCCATCTTTCAGCCAACCCTTCTCCTTCTAGCATTCTTACGACCTCAGACATTGGTGGACGGTCCTCTGGTGTTGCTTGCGTACAGAGCAATGCAACTTGTATCATCATTTCTACCTCTTGTATGTTGTAATTTTTATTTAGGTTCCGATCAACAATGGCATCTAGTCTTTTCTCCCGTTCTAATTTCTTAACCTGTAGAACACAAAAATACAGTAAAAACAGTAATCAAGTAGGTTTTTGAATAATGATGAACACAACCACCACAGCTACACGAACTTCCTTGGCTCACTACAGCGATTACTCATGTCAAGAGGGTTAGGATACTCTCTTTAGGTAGAGCAACTATGACGGGCTGGTCCTTACACATGTTATGATATACCCAAAGTGATACCACCATTCACCAAATAGCCCAAGAGTCACACACGCAAGATCTAAGCATCCCACGCACAAACAAGAAACAAACCTAAAATAATAGCAAATAAGGAGGCTATAATTTAGAAAGAGATCATACATGGTCAAGTAACAGCACATCATCTTCCTCTTCTAATCGTGAAAAGTCAATTGCTCGTTGACCTGTAACAAGCTCCAGAAGCATAATCCCATAACCAAAAACATCGGTCCTTTCAGAAGACTTTCCAGTGGATAAATATTCTGGAGCTATGTGGCCCATTGTCCCACGAACTTGAGTTGTGACGTTAGTTTTTCGAACATCAACTAACTTGGCCAAGCCAAAATCACCAACAACAGCTTCAAAATCTTCATCTAGTAATACATTAGCTGCCTTCACATCCCGATGAATAATCTTAGGATTGCAATGCTCGTGAAGATATTCCAAGCCTCGGGCTGTTCCCAGGGCTACTCGTTTTCTTGTAGGCCAGTCCAGAACAGGTTCACCAGGTTTGAGTTCTGCATCAGTATTCACTTGGTAAAACAGCACTGATAAATATGCCAGATTTTACATATAAACAGCAAAATATGGAAATCCAACCTACCCAAACACATTAAACAAAGTCTGCCAAAATCATATTTATATTGTTAATCATTATTAAAAAAATATTTTTTCTTTGGAACAGATCAACTAGAAAGGTTGAACCACTAACAGCACCCCATACAGATAGGGCTGAAGAGTCAAACTACACTTGCATTCACAAAACAAGCGAAAACCAGCAAAAAAGCAAGAGAACTAGATTTTCGTTTAGGGAGTATTGCACGACTAAAAAAAATTAGAACTGTTACTAAGTCAGAAATCAAGTCAGGATAAGGATCTGGTTCTCAACGTTTTTCAATGATTGTGGATTTTCAGTTAATGAGTTTAAAACTACACAAATAAATAAATCAAGGAAAAATTAAACAGTTTTCTAATTTTTTGATGTTATTCTTTCCTGTCCTTTTGAACAGTCCATTTACTTATAATCTCCGTGCATCGTACGTGTAGTCTCCTTTTATCAAGTTCTCCACTTATACAGTTTTCAAACCATTCTTCCAAGGTGTTGGACAAATCCTAAAAATTATTGGCATATATCTTGAAGTGTGTAATTTGAATATTTGACAGATTTCTTCAACCAGTTAACTCAAAATGTTTAAAATTGACTGAAACATAAAAAGAACTTACTGTGATGATATTCAACAATATGAAATCTGAATGGCCATACTTCAGTTACAAAAATAAATAACATTTTTTTTTTGTACAAATCAAATTGAATACCCAACATACCAGTGAAGCCAAAATGCATTGTAACTTGTTACCTCGAAGACGATAGGCAACACTTAAGTTCTGCATAAAGGGATAAACTAAGAGGCGCTCAGTTGGGGTAGTACAAAACCCAATCAGCCGTAACAGGTTCCTATGCACAGCTACACTTATCATTTCAACCTCACGCTGGAAAGCTGCATCTCCCCCAGGACTTTCATAATCAGTTAACCTTTTGACAGCAACTTTTATGTTATCAGCAAGAACACCTTTATAAACCTTTCCAAAGCCTCCCTGACCCAAAACATTCTTCTCACTGAAGTTGTCTGTGGCTATCTGAAGTTCTCTCCATGAAAATCTCTTTAGTTGACCAAATGCAATTCGCCTATCCACTTCACCTATGAAACAAAAATAAAAAATAAAAAATAATGATCACAATATGTATGTATGCATATATGTGTGTAGTATTCTATACTTAGTATAAGAAATTTGGAAATTTAAAAAGGGGAAAGTTCACATCAACCTCATTTTTAATGTAGCTATTACTCTATTTCAACAAACATACACAGTTAAAAGATTGCAGAATAGATTCAACCCATAAATTCTCTTCTATCACTCCAAAATCTGATCATATACCACATTCATTCAACATATAGCTTTATAGTAATAGGGTATATTCCAATATTTAGTTTTAAGGACAGTTTATTTAAGAAAAGCCTAATACAATAACATTGCAATCTAAAAAAGAAACTCGAACCTGGAACATCTACATAAATGTCAGGCCTTTTGTGCTTTTGTCTACCCTTGCACCAAAAGAACACCAGACCACCAAGGAAAAGAATAACAACTAACCCTATAACAATTCCAACTATGAGGCCAGTTTTTGGTTTATGTGATGAACCTGACAAGAGGAGACAAATTACATTCAGCTTGTAGAGAGTGAGGAAGAGATAACAGCACAGCACAAGGACTGAATAAATATTCAAATCAAGTAACCTTGATCCGCATTATCAGATTCGCAAAGTTGATGATAATTCACACCACAATCCAAATTATTTCCAGTGAAACTGCAATATGGAGCATGGTTAAAACAGTGAAATGTAATGGCAAAAATATATATGCTCAAAATGGAGAAACATCTCAAGGACTTAAATTCAAATAATATTCTATCTGAGGACTCCATGCACAACATGCCATATGGTCACACCAGATAAAAGGGGGAATAAAACAGTTTCAAATTAATAACTTAAAATGTAAAAATTATGTATTTTAACCACCACCAAACAATATAATGAAGCATTTTTTTTATCATTATTGCTCCTATTTACTGCACTTATGATGTTGAGTTCCTTAACATGGTATTCAATTCACTTTGACCAAGTGGTCAGTACCCCTTTATTCTCATTTTAAATCAACTTGTTGCAGAAAATATCACTGTACAAAGGCTTTGTCAATTGTTCAGGAGCAAAAGGTCTACAGTTAAAGGAAGGATACATGTAACACCTTCTAGACTTTTAAGCAAAAACCTAAGCTATTTTAGGGTGGCCAATTCCTTGTTTCTTCCCCTTTCTTTTTACACTTCCTTAATAATGGGAATATAAAACATTCCAACACCTGTAATTCAACAACACTAATATAGTGTCCAATCAATTTATTTCCTAGATGTTGGAAAAATGGTAGTAGTCAAGTTACAAGAACTAAATTAAGTTGTTGAAAAAAATGTGACTAGGTCTTTCAAATGCAAATAAAGAAGTGGAACCAGAAATGACCAATAGAATCAATCTACAACTGCTTGATTGGATTATGTTATTAATTATGTCCTTGAATTCAGGGTTAGAAAGAAAAGTTCAATTGGCGCTTTAAATGCATCACATACTAATTTTGTGGTTTTATCATCCATACTTGTATTTAGAAACCTCAAATAACCGCTCTGGGATTTTGCCATTCAGATTATTTGAATCTAGCATACTGCAAAAAAGAGAAGTTAATCAATCAGATACTAAAGTAATGAAATATAGTTCAAAAAAAGCAGCAAAGTTATAGAAACATTATTTCACATACACATTGATCAAGATTGGAAGAGTGGCAAGTGATTCAGGAATTGTCCCACTAAGATTGTTTTGACTCAATGTTCTGATTGCAGGACAAAAAACAGACACTTATAAAAATTACACACAAAAAAAAAAAATACATCATATATCATTGGAACCTAGCAAAAAGAAGGCCATACTTACAAGAATTGAAGCTTTTTAAGATTACCAAGGGAAGAGGGTATTTCTCCAGTTAATTTATTGCTTTCCAAATCCAACCTGCACAAGCTTGTCATGTTTCCTATCTCTTTTGGTATGTTTCCACTGATGCCATTGCCTTGCAAAGAACTAATACAAGTATAATATACATCAATTCTTACATTTAAATTATCCTTTTTGTTTTTAATGGTGAATATTTAAAAGAATAAACCATTCCAATGAAAACATAATAAAACAAAAGTATGAACTACATAACGCCAAATCCAGTGAATGTTTGCAACACAGCAAGAATAAACTTGTTAACTGGGAGAACACAAGTCAAATTACAAAATTCACTAGAGGGCGTCAATAATTTTTTAAAAATAAGAAAATTAATCATAATGAAAAGAAAAAAAAAATCTAAATCACCAATACTTAACAAGAGTATGCATCAAAATCACAAAATTCACCACAGATAATAACTACAATCTATAACTTCAACTTATAGAGCAACATAAAATAATAGAGATGTGAATATATATAATTTCACATTATAATACTAGAATGCAAACAATTCAAGACTGATAAGGCTAGTCAGTAAAAAGGGGGGAAGATGCAAGAAGAATGTAACATGGTTTTTGATAACCAACTGAAGTTATCTCACAACTTCCCCGTTACAAAAATTTGAGTGAGTAAAATGCCAAAATTTGTTTTAGTATTATGGAGTTGACCAAGATTGTGTGGATATTTTTTGTGATAGAAATCCTTACAGAGCTGTAACATATTGAAGAACTCCTATTCTTGGGGTCAAGTATCCAGTGAATCCCATATAGGCTAGTGATCTGCAACAAAGCAAATTTATGTTATTACACAGAAAGCAAAATATTTAAGATATAAAAATGTGAAATATATAATTTCAACAATGGGTAATGAGAGCCAACATCTTAAGAAAATCAAATAATTAAAAGAAAACAACAACAGAAAATATCTTACACTTGCATGACATTGTTGTTTGAGTCACAGTAAACATGTGACCAAGTACAAGGATTCACTTGATTCTGATTCCAGTCAGTAAGCTGGTCAGCTGAAGCATTCAATGATAGCTTCAATGCAAATAGTGCATCTCCTGAAATAAGAACATACATACTTACTAAAACCAAGACCAAAAGTCCAAAAGCACGGCAGTTTTAGAAAAATAAGTGACGTTCCTTTAATTCTGCCAATAAGCAGTTTAATTTATCTGTTTTTTCCTCATAAATAAATTGGAAATTAAAATTGAAAATTTGTCTAATCCGCAAAAAAGAAATTCAATGTACGTACGATTAGCAGTTAATTTTTACATAGCTTATATGCTTTTCTAATGAGTTGAGTACCATAAGAACAGAAGATTGTACCTTGCGTATCAGGAAACACAAAAGAACATAAGCAACCCACAAGCAATAACACAAATAAGAAGTCCATTTCTACTGGCATCAACCACTGACACAATGTCCCTGAAAATCAATTAGCATAGTAGCAGCCGCCATCTCTGCAAATCAAAATCTTCAAAAAATCATGAAGCTGCGAAAATGAAAAACTGCAGTAAATGTCATACAAAGATAAACATTACCAAACAGATCACTAGAGTGTTGAAAACATATTTATTGCAGAATAAGGTATTTACGATCAACCAAGTTAAGCCTCTTTGAGGAAATAGGAAGAGGACCTCTATAGCCATGTAAAAATGGGTCAAAAGAAGACAAGGAATTTTATTTCGTGTTTACTTCCAATGGGAAAAAACATAACCTTTTGGTTTCATACTGTTTTGAATATACACCAAGGCTTATTGCAACTCAGAAAGCACTTCAAAAACTATCCGGCAACTCGAAGAAACTGTGTAGATCGTGGACAGCCACCGCTAAACTATCTGTTTCACTAATTCACTGGTCTCGCCCCCTAAAATAAAAACAAAAATGATCCAGAAAATCAATCACTCTGAACGTGACAACAAATCCAGTTCCTAATAGACACTGTTTCCGTTGTCTTGCCACCACCCAGTGAAGTAGAAGGTCAATCCCAAGGAGTGGAAATACAAATATGGCTCAATTGCCAACTACTGACACTTCATAAGCTTAAAAAAATGCAGAAAAGCAACAAAGGTGCAGAAAGAAACAGACTCAAAACACAACTAACTCAGTGACCTGATAATTTTATCTAAAAAGAATAAAAAAAAACAAAATCAATTAAAATCATCAAACTCCCATTCAAAGAACCGTGTTAAAACACTCCACCACATAAAACACTCAAACAAAAGTCCCAACAAAAAAAAACACTGATGTGATCGGAACCAGACCCAAACAAAACGCCAAAAACGGGAAGAAAAAAATCCAGAAAGTTCAATTAAACGGTGGAAAAATCAGCTTCATAGAAGAGGAGGGAAAAAACAAAATCAAGTAGGCACCGACCAAATCCCGCGCGCAAAGGGACAAAAGAACGGGTATATACCCAATCATGGGTCAAAAACAAAGGACTCAGGCAAAAGCAGAACAACACTTAACAGTACACACACCAGCACTAACAACAAGAGACAGAATCACCACAATAACTAAAACGGTGAAACGAAAATCGGAATCAGGGTACTGAATAGGCGGTACTAGGTCATGGAAGATGAAGTTGCAGTTCCAGCGAAGGGAAGAAAAGTTTGTTAGCGAAAAGGAAAGTTGAGTAGTGAGGAAGCGTTAAAATGATGGTGAAAGAGAGATAGAGAGATAAGTAACTAAACCGAAGAAAAGAGAAGAAGAATGTGAGATATATACATAAATACATAGCTGGCAGAATGGGCGAAAGTAGCGGTGTGACACCAAATCTGGAACAGAACCTTCTATCCCTTCTTTCTTCCTTTCTTTTTCTTTGGTCAGTTTTGGGTTTTACTTCTTCCACTGCTACTTTTCTACACTTCACTATCTGTCTCACGCACTCCCATCACACATAACACAAGTCTTCTTTCTCTAACTATCAGTTTCTTATGCAAATAATTAAATAAGAATAAAAAAGAAGAACAAGTTGCCTTCATTATTGAGTCTCTCTCTCTCACTGCTTTCAAAATCTCACCCCGTTATTTAATTCCACATGTCTTGCCCCACGTTCCAATCCGTACTAATAAAAATTCATGTATTAGAAAAGATTATGATACTAGGTTCTTTGTTGTTGTGAAATTAATCAAATACTATAATTGTATGGAACAACATGAATTTGGTGTTGGATTAGTCAAACTGTTTATTCTTGCCTTAAAAGACACTATTTATAATCTTATCTAACCAGTCTTAATTCATACTATTCCCTCAGCTATAATCCTATTCCCTCAGCTATGATAATTAAGGCTTGAATCACTTAAATTCAGTTTTTAAATTGTAATACTTGTTTAAATTATTAAAGGACAAAAACCTCCCAATAATAAAGTAGAATATTTATTAAGAGACTAAGATTATTAAAACTGTATATTATCTATTGTTTTAGTATTATGAAAGAATATTATTATTATTATTATTATTATTAGATGAAAAAGTATCATCGGGTTTTTTTAAGATTATAATAGGGTGCTGGTATTTTTTTATTTTATAAAAATATTTAATAAATAGAACTATCATCTTAACTTTTGGCTTTTGATTATTAAATTATTTTAAAAAATAATTTGAATGGTGATTTATAATTACAAGTACAATTAAATTCTTTTAATTTTAGGTACCAATTCCATTGTTATTCTAAGAAATTTAAAGTTGAATTGTTATTTTATTTTAAAATATAAGTTAATTATAAATTGATTGATAATATATATTATGAGTGACGCATCTTTTGCGTCCATGAAAATTATGAATATTATTTAACTGATTTAAAAAAAAATCTTATTCATATTTGATATATGATGTCTTCCAAGCTAAAAACTTATAAAACAAAACCAATAAAATTATCATTTTCATTCTCGTAAAATATAGATTATGAAACTTAGTTTGAGAAATAAATTTCGTAGCAAATGAGTCTTTATATATATAGGTTAAACAAATGTTTCCATAAGAAATGTGTATCATAAAATCTTGTACCTCGTGGTGGAGCACATGAAGAGAGAATGTGCCTTAGGCTTTTGAAATTAGCTTTCAAGTGAGAAAGAGCTTTGTCTTAATGAAGAATTGAAAATAGGGTATTATATATCATTCAAAAAGAATGCAAGAAAAATATAGTGGCTAATAAAAGAATGAGGTGCTGAAAAACTAGAAGGGAATGTAGGGAGATGCACAAGCACAAGCACAATCCTGCATGCGTTGTCTTCCACTTGTTATTCTCAGCAAATTCACCAAACCACGTGATAATGCAATTCACCAAGCTTAATATGTAGCGTGCTTCTTCCAAAGAATAATAGTATCTTGTTCAATTCTGCAAATATTTTCATTGTTTAATTTTTTTAATCTTAAATCATTAATATTTTGATTGAGGTTGTGTAAATATTTTAGTGTTACGATTTTGATTAGTGTTCCACATTTAAACTATTACTTATGCTTTATTTTGAGTAATTAAATATGTTAAGGCATGAAAATGAGTTTTTAGGATAAATTTATTTGAGTATTTTTCAGGGAGACTGATAATAGATTCTCACAATTCTAATACGAATTCACCGAATAAAAAAATTATCACATAATTTTCAATAAAAAAAATTTAAGTATGTTGTAAGTTTCTTTTATTAAATTAATTAATTTTTTATTTTTATTTAACGTGAGACTTTAAATTCGTATTTAAAATTTTAACATTTAAGAAAAAAATTACTTTTAACTCTTAAATTCTTATCTCAGAAAATCTTACTAGATTTGAGATTTAAGAGGTAGAAAGTTAGTTCTTTTATTTAATTTTTAAATGATCTAAAACTTTTATTTTAAAATTGTTTGATATATTTGGAACTTTTAGAATTGGTGTTCAAATTAAAGTTCTGAGAGGGTGATCCTTCAATTAAAGTAACGTTAAATAAAAAACAAACAGCTGGACAGAAATCATTTGACGGCTTTCGTATATTGTCACCAATTGAGGTTGTATTTATCAAATAATGATGTTGGGTTTGCGTATAATCCAGAAACACAGTCCCAGATAATGATGTTTCCATGCGATGGAATCATGTCTTGGTATAGAATTCTTTTTGTGGTCATGAACAATAATCAATTACTACTTCAAATTTGTTGACGATAAAGGCGTCCCAACAATGCTAATTAATTAACATCGTTTACTTTTTCTAATCGTAATTATTTTTTTTCTCAAGTATCATTCACTGAAATAAGTCATAATATAGGAATTAATAGATATCAAGCATGTAAATAATTTGTAAGAGGGTAGTGACCCAATTAAAGTTGAGTTTAGGGTTTAGGGTTTAGTTTCTCTTATAGTTAAGTATAAGGGTGTGTGAATGAGATGATTGGTGAAAAAGATTATAGCACCAAAAATGGTGTGGCATAAGAAAGTGAGAAATCAAAAACATGATTTTGTGAAATGATAAGAGAGTGACAGTGCATGATTAAGATGGAAGGGTGAATGCATTGACTTGATAAGAGCAATGGCCATGCATGCAAGCATTCTCATTCTTCCATCTTCCAATCAATCAACCTGTGTGGGTGGTCGATAGCAGACAAGCAGACAAAATTTGGCAGGGCTGGAATTCTATGCCTATTAGCCTACATTCTTTAACCAATATCAATATTCTCTCATTTTCTAAGATAGAAAAAACTATATTCAAATCATGATTCTTAGCATTGACTTATCCTTCAAAAAAAATAATTAGTGTCATTTGACTGGTTTAATAAAAAAGATGAAGGATTCATATATCTTTCTTATGTGAAACGTATTCATCCGAATTAATAAACTATAAGGCCACATTCATTATTAAGAAAAGTAAGAATAAAATAAAAAATAAAAACTTACGATAATCAACTTAATAAACATAAATTAATGAAAGACAATTGAAACATAAATTAATGAAAGACAATTGAAACTCAGTATCTGATCATAATATTCTTCTTACATTAAATAATAAAAAAGATGTTACAAGAGAAAAAAAGATAAAGAGATAGATTAAGAAAAGGAGATAAAAGAACAAAAATATTAAAAAACATATTATTATTAAATATCTCTCATAAAATAAAATTTGTTAAAAAACGTATTATCATTAAATATCTCTCATAAAATAAAATTTGTCTCCGTATTATAATCTCCGTATTATAATTTATATTATTACGTAAGAACCGTACCATAGATATAAGATCCTCTAGAATAATTTTGTTAGAAGACGGAGGAATGTAAGAAAAATACATTATTGATTTATATATTTTAGTTCAATGAACAAAATATTACTTTTAGTCCTTAAAAAAATTAGTTAATGTATTAATTAATAAAATACGAAAATATATATTTTCAACAGTAAAAGATAGAAAAGCTGCTTCTTTTTTCTAACGTCAATGCTTGAACTTAAATTCATTTAATACTAAAAAAATATTCAACTAGTGATCAACTCTAAATATTTGCGGAATTATTTTTAAATTTTATTTACTACTTTACTGTTATGTACATGATGTTTATATTATTGTCTTATATTTCAACATCAAAATAATTTTAAATAACTCAACTTTAGATAATTTTGTTAGAAGAGACAGAATTTATTTCGATAATTTGTACGTTTTAAAAAATTAGTCTTATGTTTCAGTTGTGAAGATGCATTGTTTCTAGCAAAAAACTCAACCTTTCAATTAGAGATATAAATCTCAACTTGTAACATGTAACATCCTCCTTTTTTCTTAATTATTTTGATTATAAAATAATAAATGATGTGCTATTTTATTAACTTGTTTGATTGTTGTATTTTTTTTGTTGGGTTTAATGATTGTACTTTTTATTAATTTTAATAGTGTATTTGACTAAGATAAAAATGAATTATATTAATTAATTTACAAAGTATTGTAAATTTAAAAAAAAACTCATAAATATGTGTGTAGATTGAAATATAATTTTAAAGTATTCAGGATAAACGGTTTTTGACAAAACTTTAGCAATTATTGTATGCGTAAATATAAAAATTAAGATTAAATAAATAATTAGTTGATAGTTTAAATGATTAGAAGAGAAATACAAAATTGAAATGGAAGAGTAGAAGAATAAATTAATAGATGAGTAATATTGAATTTAATAGCTTAAGTGAATATGTTAACATAAATAGTTATGTAAAAAAATGTGTTAACATAATTTTAGTTGGGTGATTCATGAAGTTAATTTCCGGAATGGAATATTACCCACGTGAACTTTTCCTCTTAATGTCCACTTGATTGAGGTTATATTTTGAAACAAAATAAAAAAGGGGTGTACTAGTAAACTTTAGGGGTGTAAATAGCTTGTAATTGTTTATTTCTTTACTTCTTATTTTGTGAGCCCAAAACGCAGACCCCCCAATCTGCCAGCATTATTTTTTATTTTCTCTTTTATTCACTAAAAACTCTAGTGTCACCTGGAAATAAATAAATAAATAAGGGTGTGTTTAATTTGATATTGTTTTTCTAATTTTTAAAGATAATCATTTTAAAAAACTTGTTTGAAGAATAAGTTAAAAATAAAATTATTTAATAATTTAGTTTAAAAAGTGTTTGAACATGAAATAACTGGCAATTTGTTCTAAAAACCTGTTCCACACGAATTTTCTCAAAGTGTGAACAAAACTGGCATATTAATAATAATAATAAATAAATAACGTTAGGTTAACTATGCTAACCAACGTGATAACATCACTTCAACCTGTACTAAAGTTATCACAGCAATTTCAAACATTACCTAAACCTAAATAAGGACCACGTGTTATCACTTTTATTATTATTATGTAATAGAAAGAAAAAAATATACTAAATATGGACAATTCAAAACATTTAGTAACATTAGATAAGATCCCAAGAAAACTAAAATAAATGAAAAATATAAAGTTGAAATACAATTATTTTTTACGCATAAAATATAATATTCTTAAAAGTGAAAAAAGAAAACGGATTGACGTTGGTTTTCAAAAAACATTAGTACGACGATCGAATCAATTATAAGCTTCAATTGAAAGAAAAATAATTGTTATAATATTTAAAATCAATTGAATTAGTTTGATTTTAGTTGCTGATCTAATAAGGTTGATTGAAAAACCAAAGTTGGAATGATTTATTAAAAACTCCTTCTCCAAAATTGTTAATTATTAACTATTAACTTTAGCCGTAAAACTTCTACATTTGTTTATCATAAAAAAAGGTTAAAAAAACCTTCTACAAATTTGTTTATCATCCTTAAAGAAAAAAAATTATCTTTTAAACAAGTTTTTTAAATTATGCATACATACACAATTTAATCAAATCAATATAAAGTTTGAATTATGTATATGTTCCTCATGGACAAAAAGAAAATGTATTTAAGTAAAAAAAAAAAAAGGATAAAGGTTTAAAATAAATGGGAAAAGAAAAAAGAAAAAAAAAATGATAGCTTTTTAAAATGAATAGTGCTGTGCTTCGGAGAGGATTCAGATTCATCTAGATGTTTTTTCTACCTAATAAAGAGAAAGTTCAAAGAAAAATATAAATTATTCAAACTGTTACCATTTCTCTAATGAATTCAGATCCATTCGTTAATTTATTCCAAGTCTTTTCCACGCATAAAATTATTCTAATGTTTCTGGTTGTCGCGTGTTTGTATGTCTTTCCACGCATTCCTTGTTTATTTATTTCACCAGATTAAGAATGTTGGTTAACAAACTAAAACCAACATAAAATACATTAAAACTATGAAACACTTTTTTTAAATAATATTCAAAAAATTACTAAGCAGTTGGTTTTATTTATTTATTTTTAATTATATTTTGATCAAATATAAAATTACAATTTTAAGAAATTAAAATAAACTTTTTATCTAAAAATAAAAATATAACTATGGGATTTATTCATTCATTTACTATATTTTTTTTGTTCAAAAGCTGTCTTCTTATTCGAATCGAACAATCAAATTGTCTTTTTCATTGTTTAATATTGACCGACGAAAAAATATTTTAAAAGTCAATTCTTTAATAAATGTATAGATTTATAAAAATGGTAATGACAATTACATTTTGTATATTTGTATTGTTTAATAGGACATACACAACCTTAACAAATAAATAATGAATTTTAATTATTTAATAAAATCTAACTCATTAATTAATGAGTTTTATAATTAATAAAAACATTTTAAAAAAATATACTAAACACCATTTACCATTATTTGGATAAAAGATAACTATTTAATATTTTGACAAGGGACGTAACGTTTCTTTTAATGATCTATGAAAGGTATGGCCGATCATTTTTAATGATATTTCTCACTACTTTTTATTTATTTATTTTCGATCTTTTATTTAATAAAATGAAGTCTTAGAAAGTAGAATATATATATTTATCTCTTTTTTTTTAAGAAATTTGTAATTATGTTCTAAAACTTAAAAAAGTGTTTTGTAATCTAGTTTTTGGGTTTAGTAGTTGTAACAACTTCAATCTGCTAAAAGAAGAACAATCAGTAACAGGTTTTTTATGTCTAAAGATTCAATCACAAAAAATTTGAAAATATTAAAAACCAACTTTTTATTTATTTATATAAACGGAATAAAAAGTAAATATTTTTTCTCCCTCTTTATTCTTAATTCTCTGATTTACATAGTCATTAGAAAAATCATATCTTATCTGGGGACTTTTGTCTTTTTACACACTTCTCTGACCTGTGAGTGTGTCTGTCTCTTCTCTGCTCTAGAATCTCTCACTCTGCAAACACATACGCAAAAACACTCTCTTTTACTTCCTAGTTCATCATCATCATCATCATCATCATCTTCGATCATTTAACCAATCATGATCCCGCACACCCCAAAATCCCCTTAACTTCACCCTCTCAATCAATCAATAAAAAAAAATGGCGGGGTGTATCAGCTTCACCGCCACGCGCGATCGGTGCTTCCGCTTCTCCTTCTCCAACGCGGGTCTCAAATCTGCCACCACAGACCTGGGCCAGGGCACCATCATGCACTGCTGGGTCCCCAAGGCCCCCAAAGACTCCAAGCCCAACCTCCTCCTCCTCCACGGCTTCGGTGCAAACGCAATGTGGCAGTGGAACGACTTCCTCCCCCCTCTCACGCGCCGCTTCAACGTCTACGTCCCCGACCTCCTCTTCTTCGGCGACTCCCACACGGCCAGCCCCGAACGCTCTGAGGCCTTCCAGGCCCGCTGCGTCGCTGACCTCCTTCAGGCTCACAACGTCCGGACAACCAGCGTGGTGGGGATCAGCTACGGCGGCTTCGTCGCCTACAGCCTCGCCGCGCAATTCCCCGAGCGCGTGGAGAAGGTGGTGCTGTGCTGCGCCGGGGTGTGCTTCGAAGAGAAGGACTTGGATGAAGGAATGTTCCAGGTGAAGAGCGTGGAAGAGGCTGCCAACATTTTGATGCCTCAGACGCCGGAAAAGTTGAGGCAGCTCGTGCGCCTCGCGTTTGCCAAGCCCGCCAAAACCATGCCAACGTGCTTCCTCACTGATTACATAAACGTGAGTACCACGCGCCAAGTTACATGACAAAAAAATATTCATACTTGATTCTTATTCTATACATGTGTTCTCTTTTTGTTTCATCTTAGATTTCATCACGATGATGCTGAATAGGGTAAAACTATATTGTTGATGAATATATGGAGAAAGAACAGTAATAGGAATCGGTATAGTTGGATATTGGGATTTGTGAGGGCTAATTCTCGTGATATAATATAAAGACTTCACCTTCTGACTAAATTTATTTATTGGAAAATTCAACTGTGTTTTTTGGGCAATTCTTTCTGCAATGGATGGTTGGTTGAAGTTTATGTCCAATTTGTTCTTTTGACATGGGAGAAAGGATTTCCTCTTTTCAAGGTGTCGTTTTAATGAAAACAAGTTGTGTCTGCGTGTATGTCGTCTGTCGCTCCATTTGGATGCTTTCTTCTACAAAATACTATGGTCCCCCCCTCTCTTATTATGAAACAGACACAACTATGAGCACGTAAGCCTTTATAAAAAAAATGTATACACATATTATAAGATTTGTCATTGTCTCTTTAATTTCAACCTTGCTTGATTAGTCAACAATAAGAAATTAACAAATTTCTGATTGCTTACACAAGCACAGGATTTCCATTTGCAAATTTACCAAAGTTTGTTACTTGCAGGTGATGTGTACTGAAAATATCCAAGAGAGGAAAGAACTAATCGAAGCATTGCATAAGGATAGAAAACTGTCTAATCTTCCTAAGATAACTCAGGTTTTTCTTCTCTTCAGATACTTTACATTATGGGTTGGTTTCACCCTGTTTGCAATCTTTCATTGAACTTCTCAAATAACATAGCTTTTGGATGATGCAGCCAACGCTAATAATCTGGGGAGAAAAGGACTTGGTATTCCCAATAGAACTAGCACACAGACTAAAAAGGTCTCTCTACAACTTACCCTTAATTTTAGCAAACTATTAATTTTGTCTTGAATCCAAATGATTGTTTTACTTTGCATCTTTTAGGCATCTGGGAGAGAACGCAGAACTAGTGGTTATTAACAATGCAGGACATGCTGTGAATGTAGAGAAGACCAAGGAGATGTACAAGCATTTAAAATCCTTCCTCATTGATTGCACTACTCCAACTGTGCAAAAAAACCACAGCAATGGTCGCCAAGTGGATTAGCAGTGTCTTACTACAGAAATTGATATTTGATTTCAGCATCTGTTGTACGCTGTTATCAGCCATGTGGCATTTTTTATATGGATAGGACGCAAGGGATAGTTATGAACCTTTAAAGGAGTATCGGAGAATAACTTTTGAAGAGCATCTTCTACAGTAAATACATAATTCAAGAAACTCGGTTGGGATTGCTTATGTAGTATCATGAGTTTATGTGTGTATTTCAACACTTCAATGTTACAATTGTAACTTTTAATATTGATAAAATAATTAAATATAATATTAGTCATTTTTTATATATAAATTTAACATTTAATAATATGTTTTTACTATAATAACAAAATTTAGTATATTCTTAAATTGAAGGATTAGTTATCAACTTTTAAAGTGTAATGAAAATAAATATATAAAGACAAAAATATATTTGATCCTTAATAATTTAATCTTGAGAAATATCTTAATTATTTAACAAAAAATAACAATTAAAATAATTTAAATAAAATATAATTTGAATTTATTAGATATAATAGTCCTAGTTTTAATGTCACTTTTTATTTAAATCTAAATTTTAAAATAAATAAATTAAATTAAATGGACATAGATTTGAAATTTAATCTATTCCTACTCCTATTTGAAACATCTTAAACGAATAATTCCTCTAAGAATTATAGCATTGTTTGGTTTCACTACAAACCAATGGAGCAATTTTAAACATGAAGAAAAATACAAAGATATTATCCATCCAAACGTACGACACTACCTAAACAACAGCTCTTACGAGATGGAAACCAGGGAATAAGCAAAGGAAGGATAAAAATACTTCTTTTAATCTCAATTCTCATGTTTTTTTAAAATATGTTTCCTAAAAAAGGAAAATAGTTATTTTCCTTTCTCTTTCACTAAATAATACAAAATCATATTACTCTCCATTGATTTTCATTTTTCTTTTACTTTTCATTCATTTCACTTTCACCCCTTATGTTGTATTTTCATCTAGAAATCGTGCTTACCATAAAGTAAAAGCAATTAAAATTGACGTAGAAAGAAACTCATTTCCAAACACGTCCTAATTAGTCATCGTGGTATTTGACAGTTTAAAAAAGAAGAAGCAACGAATAAAGTGAACGGTGGGTTAATAAAGAATCCCTTTGGGTCCTTTATGCTCATTCTTACCCACCCTTTTGTGGGTTTAAGTCAGAAAAGTAAAAAAAAAAAATAATAATGTAAAATTTGAATTATTAAAAAATATAAAAAATACATCTTAAAATATATATTACCTACACTTTACCAAAACATATTTTACTCTAGTTGGTAAATAAGATACATCTTTGATCATAACCTAGAAAAAAAGAATCCACAAAGACTAGAATGAAAGAGGAATGGATGCGGAATACCTTTATTCCATTCGTTTAAACGTGCTTTTCTAAAGCAACTTTTACTAATTAAAAGTTTCACCATATTCTCAAGTGAATGGCTCCTCTGAATCCTCATCATACTAAGCTCAAAATGACACCACCCAAAATGGAACTCCAAACATACCAAGCTGCTAAAACATTCACAAAGAACACAAGATTAATGATACATGTATAATTACAACTATATATATACTTACACATACAATAAATTAAAATGTTATTTAATCTTATCATTCACAATGTCATACTTAATTTCATGGATAAGATTTCCTAATTCTATTATGATATAAAAATATGAATTATGCACTATACACATCTCTCATAGTACTTTCCTTTGCCTACGTGTAGGAAGTAATACATGAAAGTTGAAAGAGTGAATAACAAGATGAATAAAGAAAAAAAAAAATACAAGGGCATGTGTAGAAAATTGTGGTCAAATATTTAATTGTAAAGAAAAATATATTAATAAGTAAATTAATTTAATAAAAATTAAATTATAGAATTTTTTTATTAAATTTTCCAAAATATTGTTTTTAACTTATAATATTAAATCATAGAAAAACTTATTTTAATTTTTCTTTTTTTTTCTTCTATTATGTTAAAAGGGTTTATACAAAAGTTTCTTCCAAACATACCTAAGAGGTACTATTTCTGAACTCAAATATAATAACAAAACTTAAATATAAACAAAAATCAACCATCTCAATTTTATTTAATGTTACTGTTCCATAGGTACTATTACATCTAAACCTAAACATCATACCAATAAATATATAAATCAATTTAAAAAAAAGTTTTTACTCTCATTATTAAAAAAATAAACTAACTTTACACAAGAAGGAGATGAATTAACTATATTAATTAATTTTCTAATATTTTTCCTAAAATAATCTTTTTGCAAAACAAAAAACAAATAATAACTTACGCTATTTTAAAAATATTAGTAAATAAAAATAAAAGTAATTAATATTAGTTTATATATTTATAAAGGGGAAAAGAGATAGTACCTATTTACATATAACTATTATTGATAATAAGTGTGAAAGTATTTTCCTTTGAAAAAATACAAGGGTAAAATAAAGTTAATTCACAGTGATATTATTATTTTTAATGAGATATATAACGCCTGTCATATATAGATATATACGTCCATAAATTAATATTAAGTATTTTTTTTTTTCAAGAAAAAGTTTATGTGGAGAAGTGTATTTTGAAGCTTCATATTCATACAGTGATTTTGAAGTGATTTGAAAGAAGAAAGAAAAAAATAGATCTTACAGATGAAGAAAGGATAAGCAGAAGCAGAGTCCCATAGATAGTCCTGGTTCTGGTTGTAAGTAGAGGAGCAATCCAAGCTGGTGTTGTACCCTCCTTTACAAACACACACAAACGCATTCCCAGGCTCTGCAAAACCGCAAACTCCACCACTACTCTCACACCCACTGCACTTGGTTGTCACGTAGTTGTTATCCAAGGCTCCGCCATGGGAGAACTTCAACGCTACCCCATATACCCACCGCGAGGGGTCAGTGGGGGTGTCGCCCAGAGACACAACCGAAGCGTAGGCCCCACACTTCATGGCGTTGAGGTCGAGCTGCCCGTTGGCGTTGAGGTTCGCCGGGGAGTAGACGCAGCAGGAGTTGGTGGGAGGGAAGAGGGGGAGGCCGAGGGCGGCCACGGCAGGGCAGGTGTAGAGGGAGGCGCAGAGGTAGTCGAAGGAGGGGTCGCAGAGGGGGGAGGAGAGGGAGAGGGAGGGGTGGCAGGAGAGGAGGAGGAAGGTGGAGGAGGCGAGCTGGAAGGGGGAGGTCCAGTCGAGAGCGAAGTTTGTGGAGGCGGGGTGCATGGCGGCGCATGTGGACATGGAGGGCGGGGCGAGGGTGACGGTGGAGGTGGTGTAGGAGATGGAGGTGATAGGGTATGTGGCGGCCGTGTGGGTTTTGAGGAATAGTTGGTCGGCGGTGCCGTTTGAGGCGCAGGTTACGTAGGGACTGAAGAGAGGGGAGCCGCAGCCTGGGCCGGTGCCGAAGGGGAACTTCACCTTGGTTGAGCCACACGTGTCACGGCATGCTGCTGCGGCGGTGGATGGTGGTAGGGATGGTGTGGATGGGGAAACGTGGAGGGAGAGAAGGGTGAGAGTAAGAAGAAGATGTGCCATGCTTTGATGCTAAAGAATCAATGCCACTAGGTTAGCTTCTTGCATGTATACATTTACCAAGGAAAAGGTTTATGCACTTCCATTTTATTACACTGAAAATTATTCTCATCTTGTGCTTTTAATTTTCTGTAATATTTTTTGTTAAGAAAAAAATACAAATAATGCTGATCAGAAAAAATTTATGGAAGCCATTACTAAAAATTATGAAAAAAAAAAATCCGACCTGCCGGATTCGAACCAGCGACCTAAGGATACCAGCTCGGGTTACTAACTACAGTCCTCCGCTCTACCAACTGAGCTAAGGTCGGTTACTGAACAGATTTTAGTTACGTAATTATACAAATGTTGAGTATTTAAATATTTGTATAGGTCCTAATTTAATATATGCGATTTAAATTAAAAGTATCCATTAAGCTTAAGTATTATTATTTGAGAGAAATAAACTGGGTGAGATTTACACAAATTGGTTTGAATAAAATTAATTTTAGCCAAAAATTAGTTTCAAATGTTATATAATTTTTAATTCAAAACAAACTTTTAACATAAAATCAAGCTTATAACTTTTAGTTTAGGATCTATCACTGATATAGATACTTCAAAATATTAAGAAAGAGGTGAACTTAAAATCGAAGACAGACTAATGATCTTTAACTGCGCAATTAATTAACTTTATAAATAAAAAATAAAAAAATCGAAGTTAAAACGAATTACCAAATTTCAGAAGGTTAAATATATGAACGATAGATCAAAAGCAAACAGAAATATCAAAAGCCAAAAATTAGTTTCAAAATGTTATATAATTTTTAATTCTAAACAAACTTTTAACATAAAATCAAGCTTATAATTATTAGTTTAGGATTAACTTTATAAATTAAAAAAAATCTTAAAAACTGATAAAAGTAGTTGAAAAGTTAAAACGAATTAATAAATTTCAGAAGGTTAAATATATGAACGAAGAAAAAGTGTCAGGGGCGAGAGTGGCATATGCATTTTAATAACCACAATAAATCAAACGGCGAGGAACAACCCAAGAGAGAAAGCAATACTAGGGTGTGAACGCAATTGCCGAAGTGAACGCAACGAAATAATCTAATCCTTCAACTCAGTGTTGTGTGTTTCACTGCGCTCACTTTTCCCCCCCTCTCTCTCTCTTCGCACTCAGAGAGAGCGAAGCAAAGCCAGGTTTTTCTTTCTTTTCCAGTTTTTACGTTTCTCACTCCAATAAACTAACCGCTTTTCATTGCTAATTGTTTGTGCCGTTTACTTTTTTTTTTTTTCCAGTCACTTTTTTGCATAGACACGATTTGAATGTTGTCGTTTCTGTTTTTTAGCACTATTTATAATGATGTCTGTTGTTGTGTTTGGAATTAACTTTATGTCTTTGTCGCTGGTAATGAAACTTGAATTTGCTTGTTATGCATTCGGAGGTTCACTTGCTAACTCCTTAATGTTTTGTTTTGTTTTTGTTATGCTGGTCTGGTAATTTTTTTTATCATGTTCCTTCTTTGAACTCGCCATAAATGTTTAGAGGTTACATTCAGTGTTTAACTTTATTTGGGTATCAGTTTTCATTTGATTGTAATTGATTGTGAATGAATTTTCAATGTGTTTGGAGTAATTAAGAAACAGGTTTCATTTGATTTAGGTATTGATTTACATGTTTGAGATCATTTAAGTGGTAGGCCTTGAGTTTACACTTTAATGAGACTACTCATTCTATTAAATTCAATTTGTTGTTGGTCATATTTTATTTTCATGCCTTTTTTAAAAGATTATATTTATATTTTATAAAAGTCAAAATTCAAATTAAATATAATTATTATGAATGATAAGATTTTTATAATTTAGTATTTTAATTAGGCTACTAATTAAACTTAAGTGATTAGGTATTTAACTTGTTTTGTTTGTCACTTATGAGTTAAGATTTGATTGACATGCTTTTCTAATTTGGCAACTTGAACTATCCTTCCTGTTTATTCACCTTCTAATTTTATTTTCTTTCTTTACGTGTTTGCTCCTGTTTAGAGCGTCTCTTACCATGCTAGTATATTAACTTTCAGTAAGCAATCTTTTTCGGCTAGCAGAAGTTCATCAACAAGAGTCATTTATTAGATGGCAATAACACCTTTTAGTAGTACTTCTGCTGCACAATGGGGAATTCATCCTCAGTTATTAGTAAGATCCAGTATCACAGGCAAGGTTGCATCATCCAGCCACAAGTGAGTTCTATGATTGAATATTTGTTTTGTAGAATGGAAATAGTAAAGTTGTGCCATTAACAACAATTTATGAGGCATTCATTGCATGTAACAATAGGTCTGTGGTTTGCAGCCCCAAAATCCTTTTCATTATTCATGTTGATGCACTTGTATCTATCATATCACCAAGATCAACTGGGATATAATCATAGGTTAGATGTAATTTGTGATTTTGTTATTTTAATTGTCATTGACAGTAATTTTATTGTTTGGATAAGGCCTGAAATGTTAGAAACTAGGAAATGTTTTCTATCCAATCTGTCTGTGTGTATTGTTAGATTTAGAGGGGGAGGAAAATAGAGGAAGTGAGAGAAAATATGATTTGTTATTCTCCTTGAATACATTTTTATGCCAGACAGCATATATATAGACTATTAATAGACTTGGTGACGACTTTTTACTAGGTTAATACAAGTCATTGTTATCAATCTTGAATAGCAGCACGAAGTTGTTTGCTTTGTAAACATGGGATGGATGTTATTTTAGATAATATGATAAAAAATAAATAGTATTTAGTACACGTATTAACACTCAAAAGTTAAAGAAAAACCTAAAATTAAAGACATACATAATAAAAAATAAAACTAGCAGTTTACACACATAATCTCCATCAATCTTGTAGTAATAAGAAAATAGTAATGAAGTCAAAATATGAAAGATGAGTGATATTAATAGAGAAAAAAGAATGGAGCAATAGTAAAAAGTAGTCCTGTAAGTGTGAAGGAACAATGGTCTAAACAGTAGCTTTTTGTGTGTGTGGAATGGTCATGGAAGAAGGGTTTCAAATCCTACTATTGAACCAAAAAATGCATTTGAAAATGGGAGAGAAATCACAATATGCCCCGCAAAAGCTAAACAATGTTGTTTCAGGGGATAGAATGGTTTTTTGAAGCCTATATCTTGATAACCATAAGCTGCTATTTGAAGCCTATATTTTAGCACCCACTCAGTAGCTATACTCAAAATTTTCAGCCAAGATCATTGTGCTGGATTTCTGTAATTTGTCATCTTCCTTGTAGTGCTTCCAGCAGCAGGGTAAGCTACATGGCTGCACCAAGTTCAAGCTTTTTCTCTCGAGATTCCACACTATTCAGTGTGGGCGTGCCCCAAACTTTTAATCGCAAGGGATCAAGGTTGATTGTTAGAGCTGATGCAGTAAGTTTGAAATGCACTATCCAGCAGCAAATGACTTCCTTTTGTGCAAGTGTTTTAAATATATTATTGTACTCTTTTTGAAAAGTATGTTTCTTATTTAAACTGTATAAAGCCCTTGTGCTGAATACCCTTTATTTGTCAACATGCAGGATTATTATTCTGTCCTTGGGGTTTCAAAAAATGCTAGTAAATCTGAAATTAAGAGCGGTATTATCCATTTGTTCCTTATCGGCTACATCATAATATCTCCATTATTCAGCAGTGTAATGATTTGCTAATAACCTTTATTTTGGTAGCAATCTCTTTGTAAGTAAAATAGTTATCACAGTGACTTTAGTTTTTGACTATTAATGATTACGCACTATTTTGTGATTCTTTCTGTTTCCTTTGACCTTTGAGAAATCAAAATACTTTTACTTTAGAAGGTGTGAAGGTGCATCTAGAATATATATATTAGATGGCAGGATTGATTAGTGTTATGATGAGAGCTATTTCATTTTTTCATTTAATTTGAGTGCTCTTTTTCTTTAAACGGACTTTAGTTCCTATTAACCACAGGGTTACCTTTCCAAACCAAAAGTTTAAATTAGTTGCATTTTTTGACTCCTTGGTTTGCGCTTTGGTCTTTTATATTTATTGAGGAAGGAAGTTTTTGTATAGAAGGGATATCAGCAATAAATTGTTGGGTAACTGTTGAATATAGAAGAAATAGAGTTTGGGATTAATCTCCCTTGTGTATAAATCACACATAGGGTAGTCTATTTATAGTAGAGAGATACAACTAAAAGAGTAACTGAAAGTAACAGAATAAACAGAAGATATTGTTTGATATTGTGGTTAACAATATCTTAACAATATCAAATAATATCTAACACTCCCCCTCAAGCTGGAGCATACAAATTGTATGTGTCTAGCTTGTTACAAATATAATCAATTACAGGACCCCGTATAGATTTAGTAAAAATATCTGCTAACTAATCACTTGAGTTAACAAACTCAGTCTTGATGTCTCCAGACATAATCTTTTCTTGAATGAAATGACAGTCAATCTTGGTCCTCTCATGAAAGACAGGATTAGAACTAATATGAAGAGCAGCCTGATTGTCACACACAAGTGACATTTGAGTGACATCTCCAAATTGTAACTCTCTTAGCAATTGCTTGAGCCAAACAAGTTCACAAGCAGCTGAGGCCATAGCTCTATATTCTGCTTCTGCACTAGATCTTCCCACAACACTTTGTTTATTATTTTTCCATGAGACCAAGTTATCACCAATGGAGACACAATATCCCGATGTAGATCTTCTATCCGAAGGAGATCCTGCCCAATTAGCATCTAAGTAGCAAACAACTCATGTATGGTTATTAGAATCATATAACAATCCTTTTCCAGGAGATCCTTTAATATACTTTAAGATACGAATGACTGCATTCCAATGATCTTCACATGGGGAATTAAGAAATTGACTTACCACACTAACTACAAAGGAAATGTCAGGACGAGTAACTGTAAGATAATTCAATTTTCCAACCAATCTTCTATACTGCTCAGGATCAGGTATAAGCCCCCCCTGATTTGGTAGAAGTTTAGTATTGTGATCCATGGCCGTATCAACAGACTTTGAATTCATCAACCCAGTTTCCTCCAAAATATTCATGGCATACTTCCTTTGAGATATAACAATACCATCATTGGACTGTGCCACCTCAATACCCAAGAAATATCTAAGTTTGTCAAGATCTTTGGTCTGAAAATGGTGACAGAGATGTGTTTCAACTGAGAGATGTCATGGTTGTCACTACCTTTAAGAACGATGTCATCAACATATACTATCAAGTAAACACATCCAGCACTTGAGTGTCGATAAAAGACAGAGTGATCTGCTTCACATCGAGTCATACCAAATTGTTGAACAACTTTGCTAAATTTTCCAAACCAGGCCTTAGGAGACTGTTTTAGGCCATATAGGGATTTGCGAAGACGACATACCATCCCAGAAGACTCCCCCTGAGCAACAAACCTAGGAGGTTGCTCTATATAGATTTCTTCTTGCAAATCACCATTGAGGAAAACATTTTTAACATCTAGTTGATAAAGAGGTCATTGTTGAAGAGCGGCCATGGCGATAAATAAACGAACAGAAGTCATCTTTACCACAGGGGAAAATGTATCTCCATAATCCAACCCAAAAATTTGAGTATAACCTTTGGCCACAAGACGAGCTTTGAGGTGATCAATAGTACCATTAGGTCCAACTTTGATATCAAACACCCACCTGCAACCAACAACAGATTTCCCAGACGGTAGCGAGACCAATTCCCAAGTTCCACTATTATGAAGAGCACTTAGTTCATCTAACATGGCCTGACACCAACCAGGATGGGCTAAAGCTTCATGGACAGTTTTTGGAATGGTCATAGAAGAAAGAGAGGAAAGACATGTATAAAAAGGTAATGACAGTCGATGATAACTCAAACCAATATAATGGGGAGAGAGATTACGTGTAGAACGGATACCTTTTCGGAGGGCAATGGGAAGGTCAGACTCGGGTGTCACATCCGCAGGAGACAGAGTAGTTGACACTTGAGTAGAGTCACATGGTGGTGGTTGTGATTGGTTTCGGCAACTATAAACCTGAAGAGGCAGTGAAGAAGAAGCTGACTGCGGAGTAGAAACTAATGGTGAAGAAAACACAGTTAGAGGGTCACAAACAACAGGAACATTAAATGTACTAGGAGTGTTGACAAGATTTGATGGAGAAAGAGGTGAAGATTGACTTTTAAAATAAAAAGAGAACTCATCAAAGATGACATCTGCAAACACAAAATAACGGTTAAGAGAAGGAGAAAAACATTTGTATCCTTTTTGTGATCTTGTAAACCCTAAGAAAACACATTTATGTGATCTAGGAGAAAGTTTGTCAAGACCAGAACTGAAATTATGAATAAAACATGTAGACCCGAAAACTTTTAGAGGTAAGGGATGAAGTGGTTCATGAGGGAATAAAATGGAATGAGGTATTTTATTATCTAAAACCGAAGATGACATGCGATTAACAAGATAACGTGCAGTAAGAAGAGCATCACTTCAAAAATGCTGAGGAACCTCTCCATGAATTAAAAGAGTGCGAGTTGTTTCAATAAGATGTCTATTTTTACGTTCAGCTACACCATTTTGTTGAGGTGTATAAGCACAAGAAGTTTGATGCAAAATACCATGAGAAGCCATGAATTGTTTAAAAGAATGAGAAAGATATTCACGACCATTATCACTGTGCAAAACTCTAATAGAAACACCGAATTGAGTTTGAATTTCATTGAAAAAAGTTTGAAAGATATGAAATAATTCAAAACGATTTTTCATCAAAAATAATCAAGTGCATCTGGAATAATCATCAATGAAAGTAACAAAGTATTGAAAACCTAAAGTAAACTTAACGCGGTTAGGTCCCCAAATGTCAGAGTGAACCACGACAAAAGGGGACGAAGCACCACATGTGACACTACGAGGAAAGGAAGTACGATTATGCTTGCCTAATTGACACGACTCACATGCCAAACTAGACAATTTAGATAAGGCAGGGACAAGTTGCTGTAACTTGGCAAGACTTGGATGACCTAACTGAGCATGGAGAAGAGAGGGAGACTCTATAATTGCACCAACATGTGTAAAGGGACGAAGATGATAAAGACTATGAGACTCACATCCTGTGTCAATCACCTGTTTCGAACTCCGGTCCTGTAAACACACAGAATTGTTGGTAAAAAAAACAACATAATCAAGAGAACGAGTTGGACGACTGATGGATAACAGGTTAAAAGGAGACCCAGGGACATAAAGAACATTATCAATGGTTAAAGAAGGAAAAAGTTTAACCGTTTCAACACCATGAGATGATACTCTAGAGCCATCAGCCAGTGTAACAAAAGGTAAAGGATTTGGAGAGAATAAAGAGGAGAACAAAGATTTGTTACCAGTAATATGATCAGTGGCTCCTGAATTAAAAACTCAAGGACCAGAAGAAGATTGGGTCAGACCAGCAAAAGATGTACCTGTGTGTGTGACAGACACAGTGGAACTAGAAGACTGTTGATCCTTATACCATTTGAGAAATTTGTTGAACATAGCAGGTGTGTCTGATGAAATAGAAGAAGGAGGATCCTTAGCAGATAAAGGTGGGGAAAGATCCATCTGAGCAACTGCAGCAGATCGAGGAGGACCATCATGTAATGCATAACACTTGTCAATCTTGTGACCTAGTTTGCCACAATGTTCACCCTCATGTAATGCATAACACTGGTCAATCTTGTGACCTAACTTGTCACAATGTTCACACTTAGGACGCTCTTTTCCCTGTTTGCGAGGGCGAGTTCGGTCATTACGGTGAGATACCAATGCAGAAGCAGGTGTGTCAGGGTTGGGTTTTGCTGGTATACGCAAAAGAGTGGAGCAGGTCGATATCAAGGTGGGGACAACCGGAGAACCCAAAATCTGATCACGAATATGTGAATATTGATCAGCAAGTCCGTGTAATGCCCCTAGCATGAAGAACTTTGATCGTAGGAATCTCGGTGGCAAAGTCGGGGGAAGGAGGCAATAACTCATTGAACTCATGAAAAAGAGCATGAATTTTGCCCATATAATTAGTCATAGAATCTTGATGTTTAAAGGCAATAACATCTACAAATTTAGAACAGATATCATAGAGACGTTGAGTATCATTGGTGTATAATAACTTGACATGTTCCCAGATTTTGGCACATGTTTCGTAGGAACGAAAAATTTATTTTAACGAAGGATCAAGAGTACCCTTGAGAACCACACATAATTGAGCATCAATGGTGTCCCAACGGTCTTCCTCATCAGGAGTGAGAGTAGGTGCTTTCGGGGCAAGATGATCAAGATACTTCTGACTCTTAAGCCATAATCTGACGTCTGATGACCATGTGGCATAATTAGGGCCAGTTAACTTGTCAATGGATAAGTGCACATTAACATAGTTAGTGTAGATAGAAGGATCAGACGCAGTACTAACAGAATTGGAAGTACTAAAAAGAGCGGAAGAAGTCATAAAGGGCGGAGGCGATAGTGACAACGACGTGAACCAACACCAGGTAAGTTCCTAGGAAAGAGAGGTGGGTCACTAATGGACACGCTTAAATACCAAGTCTTTCCTTGTCAGAACTTTCCTAGATGTGCACTTTCACACTACCAAATAACCGATAGCGATAGCGGCGGTGGTGGCGACGACTTCAATAGTGGTCAAAGGCGAAAAACAAATTTTAAAATAACCTTAAGCTCTAGATACCATGTTGAATATAGAAGAAAAAGAGTTTGAGATTAATCTCCCTTGTGTATAAATCACACATAGGGTAGTCTATTTATAGTAGAGAGATACAACTAAAAGAGTAACTGAAAGTAACAGAATAAATAGAAGATATTGTTTGATATTGTGGTTAACAATATCTAATAATATCTTAACAATATCAAATAATATCTAAATAATATCTAACAGTAATCATCTATAATAGTTAGTTATGATAAGTATTTACCCAAGAATTAGTTAAAATTTCTGAGTTCATCAGGTTAGATAGTTTGAATAATAAGGCATGTTGCTTGTAAAAATAATAGGACTGAGATCATCATATCATTTGTAAGAGGAAAGTAAGGCCTTTTTGGCATTGGGAGGTGCAGAAGTTTGTGTGTGTAACTTGGGGAATTCTTCCTGATTCTGTCCAGAAAAGATTCCCCGCTTCTTCTGTAAAAATTCTTTAGGGAAATCTTCCATCCAAAAATCTAGAATCTGAGAATGATCATCCCTTTCATGTAATTTCTTGTAATATAGGATAGTTTTGCCATTGAAATACGAAATTAGTCAACAGGATGCCAATTATTTGGACAAGTACTGCACTTGTAGTACTTGATTTAAAATGTTAGTATAAATTGGAGTAGAGATCAGTGTTTAGCAATAGAACATAGTAATCCATTTAGTGAAACATATCTTGTCTAACATCCATCATCCTATCTGTCCATGTTAACTTCTGCTGTAGTGTTTACATTTGGAACTCCTAGGTTCCAACTTTGTTTTTGTTTTATTTTCTGCTGCCTGTGATCATTTTTCTATCCACCAGTTATTGTTCTACGGCCATTTTTATCTCTTTGTCCTTCTTGCTTCTTCTCTCTTTGTAGCAGCACTTTTATCCCCTTAAGATTGTTTGTCCATTTTAATCTTTCTGATCAATAAATTGTGATTAATCAGAAATTATTTGTTGGGCTGTGCATAGTGTGTCTTGTGATTAGTGACCTAGTTTATCATATAGCAATATCAAAGCTCTTTGCTTTTGACATTTCAGCTTATAGGAAGCTTGCCCGGAATTATCATCCGGATGTCAACAAGTGAGTAATTATTATTGTTATTATTATTATTATTATTATTATTTTGGACTTCAATTATTGGACTGTGTCTCCTTTTCTGATTATACCTCATATTATGATACTTGTAGCTAGTCTATTTTTAAAAAATATTAATCTTGTAATGCAATTGCTCCTGTCCGGACAATTCATTCACATCATATTTTAACCATTGGTCAATAATGCTTTCCATGAATCGCTTTCTTTGTTCATCATTGTTTCTTAATAATACATTGCATGCTAAAAAATAATCCCTATTATTTTACTGTAATTTGCATAGAAGTTTACCGTGAAGCAAAATGATGATATTTGTTCAAATTCATGACTTTAGTAACAAAATGGAATTCAAATAGAGCTTTCATGGTGTGATTGGTATATCTGTGAAAAATAAATTATTTCAATAAACAATTATATATATAATCGACTATAGTTAGAATAAGTTTTCAAACTACTTTTTCTCTTTAAAACAACTAAAATTAAGAAATATGAGCAGTCCCAATTGTCAATTTTGCTAGTTGCATAATTGCCTGGTGCCATCTGCATTCTGAATCATTTTTATAAATGTTGCATTGCATATTGTTAAACTATTGCCTATATTGTCTTGTATTGCAGAGAACCTGGAGCTGAACAAAAGTTTAAGGAAATTAGCAATGCATATGAGGTAAAAGTACAGATTATTAAACTCAGCTTGCCCTTATGCATATGCCTCTTAATAACAACTTGTCTTCTGTAAATAAATTTCATTACAGGTGTTATCAGATGATGAGAAACGATCAATATATGACAGATTTGGAGAGGCTGGGCTTAAAGGTTCTGGAATGGGGATGGGGGTAAGTTACCTCTGATAATACTGTATAATTTAATTTGTTATTCTTGTTTCTCAATGAACTATTTCTCTCTGTTATGCCAGGATTTTAGTAATCCATTTGATCTGTTCGAATCACTGTTTGAGGGCATGAATCGCGGTTCAGGTTCCAGAGGTTCTTGGAATGGAGCAATTGACGGTGAAGATGAGTATTACAGTCTTGTTTTGAACTTTAAAGAAGCGGTTTTTGGCATAGAAAAAGAGATAGAGATAAGTCGATTAGAGAGCTGTGGAACTTGCAATGGTTCAGGGGCTAAACCAGGGACAACACCAACCAGATGTAGCACTTGTGGAGGTCAAGGTCGGGTTGTCTCTTCAACAAGAACTCCATTAGGTATCTTCCAGCAATCAATGACCTGTTCATCATGCAACGGGACTGGAGAAATTTCAACACCTTGCAATACATGTTCTGGGGATGGTCGGGTGAGGAAATCGAAGCGGATAAGTCTGAAGGTCCCAGCTGGTGTGGACTCTGGTAGTCGTCTAAGGGTCCGAAATGAGGGGAATGCTGGAAGGAGAGGTGGTTCCCCTGGGGACCTCTTTGTTGTCATCGAGGTTATCCCAGATCCTGTCCTTAAACGAGACGACACCAACATTTTATACACCTGCAAGGTTTCGTATATTGATGCAATCCTGGGGACTACAACAAAGGTTCCTACTGTGGACGGAATTGTGGATTTAAAAATTCCTGCTGGGACACAACCGAACACAACACTTGTTATGGCTAAGAAAGGTGTTCCCTTCCTCAATAAAAACAATATGAGAGGTGATCAGTTGGTTCGTGTGCAAGTTGAAATCCCAAAAAGACTCAGCAATGATGAGAGAAAGCTTATTGAGGAACTTGCAGATTTAAGCAAAGGCAAGACTACCACCGGTAGGAGATAGTATTTTATAGGAACCTGTGTATCTATCTTTATACCTTTTTATAGTTGTCAAAATATTCTTCTTTTACACATGCATCATTCTCTTTTACAAATTTTCTGAGGACAAATTAGCAGATATTGAACACTGGGAGGGATTATATTGTGTTGGTGGAGAGTTTTTTTATTTGTCGTTGGAAACACAGGCGGAGAAGAGCAGAAAAAATTAGTGATCTTTTTTTCGTTGGAACTCATAGTATTTTGGGGTGGGGTGATATTGAATTGTGGCAGCACTATCGTTATTTCAAAAGTTTAGATGTCTAAATAAATAATAATTATATAATTCCGTATTATATGGAAAAATTATATATTCCTTATTTCAACAGATGGAAATTCAGAACTATGGCAGACGTGATTAGGGACAAATCTGAATTGATACTTGTTCTTTGCATGAGGCCATTATTTACTGAATTCAATATTATAAGTTGAATATTTTTTTTAAGCGGATAAAATAAAACGTGGAATTACGATAAATTAGTAAGTTGCAATCGTATCATAATTCATAACTATAGTTAGATAGGTTGTATCCCATTATAATGCTTTATTTGAAAGAGAGAGATAAATGGGTTGGACGAAAATAAGCTAATAAAGTGAAAACAGATGAGATATTATTAGAAATTAACAATGTCTGGTAGAAGAAAAATAGAAAAAAAAGGAAAAAGAGATAGAGAAGTTAATGGAAATGGATAAGAAATAATACTGTGAGCATTATCATTGTTTAAAATGATTTTCTTTCTTTTTCACTCTTACCAAACTTTTAATCCAACTTTTTTTCGTCATTCATCCTCTCACCAAAACAAACACCACATGACTTAATATAGTTTTTTTTTATTAACATGCATAATTGTACTTTTGTTTTATATGGAATTTATGTTTTGAAATTTTTAATTGCACAAATACAGTATCATAGGATAAATAACTTAGAATAGAAGAAAAATAGAAATAAAACCAAACTTATATTTTGGGGTGAGAGAGGCTCGAACTCTCGACCTCAGGATAACTCAGAAGCTATGAGACCTACGCGCTAACCAACTGCGCCACCACCCCTTGTTTGATAAAATTATTATATTTTATATAAGTATTAATTAATTACATAGGCATCAACCGTTTGTGATTTATTCCGTGTTATTTATAAAAGATTTGATTTCTTACCCATGTATAAATTTAGCTATAGAAAAGTCAAAAAGAGAAATTTAAATACATGACAACATATAATACAAATATTAGTTCATTAATATATATTTAATACTTATAATTACCATTTTCGATTGGGACAAGAGCATCTTATGTGTGTACTGTTCCTAAAAAAGTAGTAACAGGTGACCATATTGAAGAAGAAAAATTACATACAAAACATTTTTTTCATCAATATATCAATATAAAGAAGTAGTTTTATACTTTGAATCTTATTTGAAAAAACAAAATATTTAACTTTCCTATTTAAAATATATATAATAATTTTCATTATTATTACCGTCGTAATTACTATATTGCTCATTAGTAAATTCAAATTTATTGTTATATTTCAATTATTGCAACTATCGTTTTCCAATTTCATCTCTAATTACTTTATTATTTGAATTAACATTATCATCAATTTAGTCATTACCATTATAACCATTATCAATATGATACTTATTCTATTCTCATATTTAACACTGTTATAATAATAATTATCATCATATTCATAAGTATTTTATTATTGTTTATTATTACAAATCTAATGTTAATGTCTCTATAAATATAACTAGAATAGATAACTAGTGAATTATTGAATATCAACGAAGGGGTGGTGGCGCAGTTGGCTAGCGCGTAGGTCTCATAGCTTCTGAGTTATCCTGAGGTCGAGAGTTCGAGCCTCTCTCACCCCAATCATTTTTTTTTATTCCACTTTGTCATCATATGGCAAAAAAATAACACAAATTTTTATTCTCCATTGCCATCATATGACAAAAATAAAACACAAACAAACAATAGATAGTAATTTGCAAAGAATTGTTGTCACGTTTTAACTTGCATGTATACATCTGTTGTCAATTAATATATGTAAAAATATTTCAAGCAAATTTCCTGATAGAAACCACCGCAGGTCAGCAGAAATGGCAACATTTTCAGGGCACAAGCAAATCTTCTATTTAGCAGCTACTATATTTTGAAGCAGTAATTCCAAATCTTTCAATCTGCATGATGGTTCAAACAATTTTAATGGCTAAGTCTAAATGAACAAAACCTAATACCTTTAGTTCTTAGGAAGGCATCATACCTTACGTTACTCAAGTCAGGGTAGAGTGCTATGGCCTCTTTGAAATCCTACAAAAGACCCAAAATGGAACCAGGGTACATCATCATGCAGCCAGTTTAAATGGCTAGTTATTTTCCTCCATGTTCAATATCAAATTAATTGCCATTTTGTTGTTCAACTTATTTCAACTTAATTTCCTCACCTGATCTGCTGTAGACGGTGTGTAAGAAACCACGCAAGACATCCCTGCTTGTGTTGCTGCCTGCAGAGGTTAGTTTAGACCAGATGATAGTTTGAGCATTTCGACTAAATGCAATTTGGTGAATTAAGGAACAAAATGAAGATCTGTAGTTGGGATTCAGTATGTCTAAAATTGATATTAAGTCTAGTAACACAAGAAGAAAATTCCTTGACCTTAGACTTCCTAACCTGACGTTATTCAGTTAATTTTATTTTCTTTTTATTCAGTATATACCATATAATAAGATTGGTTAAATCTCAAGGATGTAGAAAATTGATGTCAAAAGAAAATCTACCTGTAATCCAATAACACTGTCCTCTATCACCAAGCAGTCTTTCTCTGATATGCCAAGCTTCTGCAATGCTCATGTAAATTATGCTCACTCTGTTAGTGCATAAAAGAAATTTTAGGGAGTTTCATGTTTCAAAGGTCTTTATTGTCATATTAAAACCTTGGAAGCTGTCAGGTATATTGATGGGTCAGGTTTCTTTTCTTTTACATCATCACCTGAAAGATTAGATAAGTGGACAGATACATATAAATTTGAGTAGCCAAAGTATTGCCAGATAAAAACTGAATAAAATTTTATAAGCAGAGTGGATCCTGACAACAAGGAAACCCATTTTTGCACATGTATTTTAGGACTAACGTTATGAGAAATCGTTACCCAATTTTCTTAGGTTTCAAGTTTTGTTCCAGTATTCTTGATCGGGAAATAAAAGTTTCAAATGTTATATGATCAATTAAAGAAATATACCGGCAAGGAAGCAATCAAGGCCTTGAAAGCGCTCCTACAACAGAGAAAATAACTTGGTCGAATGGAAATGAATAAATCAATTTTTACTATCAATAGTGTGAATACAAAGAAAATGGGCTTACAATTCCTATAAGGTTTTCAAGACACAGAATAACTGAACTTTTAGTTGCTGCAGAGCAAACAGCTAGTTTTTTCCCCTACATCAGCAATTGAGCAAAAATGACAGATCTGAAAGCTAAAATCTCTCTAATCAACATAAGTTTAGTTAGAACAATAATCAAAACAGCTCAGATAGAAGACATCCCGTCACAAGTAAAGAAAGTAATACTTCAGGTAATGAAAAACAATAGATCAGTACAGTGCTAAAACACATATAGCCTTATCTTACTGCCTCTTTGGCCTCATCCATCAATCTCAGAACTCCAGGTCTGGGTTTTACCTGTGTCAAAATGTACGAGTATTTAGCAGTAGCTTACCAACAACACAAATAACAACTCCGCAGTTTAGGAAAGTGGAACACAAGGATAGGAAATACATGGAAGTCTACTCACAGTTCCGGACTTGATTATTTCTTTGTATCTCTCGGTCTTCCAATCCTACATGGTCGATATAAGGAAAATGAAGTAGTGAAATGAAACTGGAAAGGGAGTCTCTTCTAATAAAAGCTAAAGATATTAACAACTAATATAGCTGTTCCTAATCAACATTACTCTGATACCATGTTAAATATATATATATATATATATATATATATATATATATATATATATGAATCTAATTTAATTCTCGTGGGGTTTTCACTTCTATAATAAACTATAATAATTGATTATATGTATAATCTTAGGATTCCAACACTAACATTCTTACCATACCAAGTAATCTATCATCAGATGTAATTTAACTTTTACACTTTAATGCATTCTAATAAAGTTCTAACTAGTATCCAGCTAGGAGGCAGCCAAGTCAAGTAGACCGAGTGACATGCATATTTCCAAACCCAAGTCCCAACTCGTGGAGAATGAGAAACTAGGTAACTCAATTCATCTAAACGCTATCAACCATGTGAAGAAGCAATGTGACACAAAGACAGACAAGTGAAAGAAGACATAAACAAACACCTGAAGAGTGTCAATCAACTTGGCACGGTCCTCGTCATTAGTCGGAGGCGTCTCGAACAACGTGGACGAAGGCCACCCGTGTTCCTTAAAGTACCTTAAAATCCCCGAAACGGTATAATAAATTGAAGCGGGAACTCCAACCAGAAAACATTGAAAAGATAAAGAAAATAAAAAAGAAAAGAAAGAAAAGAACCATCGCATTTTGGGTTTGCCTCCACCAATGAGGTTCTGGAGTTCGTCGTAGAATTGGACGTCCCAGTCGAGTGGGCCCGGAGAAGAAGAAGAGGGGCATCGAACGTTGAAGTGAACAAAGGCATCGTTGTAGGCCTGGCGATGCAGGTGCTCAGACTCGAGGATCACGCCGTCGCAGTCGAATATGAGAGCCTGAAGCGAACGTGAAGAAGACGAAGCAGAAGCAGAGACGGAGAAGGCGCGGTGCTTGGAAGAGAATAACTTAAGTCTGGAATATGAAAAGCCATGTTTGGTTTTGGGGAGATAGGAGTAGGAGGAGGTGGCTGTGGTAGTAGTGAGAGTGAGTGCGAGAGTAGAAGAAGCCATGTGAAGTCGTGTTCCTCACCCACCGTTAACGTTGTTCACACCATATCCATCACTTCAGTGAGAGATCACTCTATTTTATTTTGTGTGGCTATGTGTGCATTGCCATTCTCCTTCTAATTCTTCTAGTCCTATTAACATCTTCCAAATTTTCTTATCATTTTTACTTGTCACCAAACTCAACTATACTTGTTTTGTTTTAAATGATACTATTTACAAATTTTATCCCCAATTTTTTACTCATATATATTATGATGCGATTTACTTGCATGATAGGCAAATTTAATTCATTTTAATTTTGATGTGAATGAATAATGTTTAAACTCCCCTAAAAAATAACAGTGATGTATGAGCATCCAATTTTTTTAATAAATAATATTTTTAATACTCTTTGCTATTACATCATATAGTCTATGGTACTTACATTTATTTTCTCTAAGTGGGTATGAATTGGGAGTCATCTAGTATTAAGGTGTTTATTTATCATTTTTTAATTGATAAAGCCCATCATTACTTATTGTGGGGGGTGGTCTTCCAAGGAAGTAAAACTTTTGGTTACAAATTGGAAACATTCTGTTATAACATTGATTGTAGTAAAACTGGTGTCATGTTACACAAGTTATTGATAAAAATAAATGAATTGAAGCTAAGTTCTGAGTTTTGGTTATAAGTTCACACTTTAGCTCTGTTTGCAGTCTTTTTGCTAAGGTGATTGATTTTAAACAGATACACAAAATCTCATAAGGTCCTGCGTCAGAAAATGAGTTGTAATACAGAGAAACCCTCATTCTTTAGCCGTTTGCTTTCTAGACAAACATACATAACTCTTTCTGTTTTTATGGTTTTACTGGGCCAACACTTCCTTCATCCTTACTCAAAAATAGAAATAGAGTTTAAATGGAAGATTGTAGCCAGAAGAATACAATAGATTTATGTAAGCCTGTTGTCTCTGACGAAAATCATTATTCACATTTTATTCCTGATCAAAAGCTCAGATAAATAGTGCTACATTCTTCTTGACACACAAGATTTCCTTTCCCTCTTAACACATGTTGTATGTTATTCAAATTCTCATCACTAACCCTACACAGAAAAAAAGTTATAACTACTGCACACAGAATATTATCTCCATTCTCCAAGTTCCACTCTTTCATGAGTCATTTTGCAAGATCTTTTTACCTGATTCCTCATCAACTTTCTTCTCCATTTTCCTCTCCTTGCAATCATAGAAGTAAATCATACACGACACCCATTTCAGTGTATTCACCACAGTGAGGAGCCCAATTTGTACAAATATCCCATACCCTCTTTTATAGCATTCAAGGGAGACACATGATAACCTTAAACAAAGCCCCAAGGCAAAGAAAACAAACATCAAAAGTAATCCTCTCTTCTGATTACCTCTGCTGAAGAAATATGAAACTCGTAAAGCCCCAATACCATATATACCCTCCAGGACTGATATCACAAAACTCATATTCCAAATAGCACTCCATTCCAAATACACCATCAACAGCTTTGTAAACGCTAGAAAGCAAATTACTGAAAACAATATGTAGTACCCAAAATCCCTGAAGAGCATATAACAGTTACTTACTATCCATGGGAATGCAATCAAGAAACAAGTTGACCAAAAGAGCATATACAAAGAAGTGATAAATGTGCCTTTCATTATTGACATGTCAATGGAGCTTTTAAACATATCCTTGAGACTAGTGTAATTCTCTTCTGACTTTAGCTTCGAAGCCGAATCCATAGTTATAACAGCAGAGAAGAGCTCTAAAACATGAAGAGGCACCAAGTAAATCAATCCAAGTTTAATAAAAACAGGCAAATAATCATTACGAAGACTTTTACGAGGTTCCATGTGGACGATGCCATCAATGGAAGTATCAGATACATAATAAACATATGCATAATTGTGTTCGAAAAAGGGTAGGAGTGATATAATTTCTGGGGTCTCAACCATAACTTTCTGGAACAAAACTTCGAAGTAAACCATGACAAAAAAGAAAGGAAGGGAAGTGAGACAGGTGAAGATGATGAAGTTGATGTTTTTGACATAGAATGTTACAGCTTCATTGAGGATATCAAAGACCCCCAGCTTCTGCTTAACTTGTTCGCTTTCACTCTCCATATTCAACACTAACTTCATATCAAATTCAACCCTTCATGCTTATTGCATATTCTCATTATAAACATATCTTTTCACTTGATTCTACTTTCCTGGAAATTCACTGTTTGCACCTTGTGGAAGACTTTGACTTTAGACCATATATCTGTTTTTATGAAAATACTCTTTCTCCAACACCTTTGCAGGTAATACTATGTCGGTGCCTAACATTCAATGACATTAAATATTCAAGAGCAAGTTGTTTTATACGACGCTTTTTGTTGGTTTTTATATATTTTTTAATAATATTATCTATTTTGTCTTGATTTGAATTGTGCCTTAGCTTTTGGAAATTTTTAGTTGTAGGTTTCTATCGAGGAGACTTTTATAAGAGCATAAAAGTTTATTTGTACTAGTTTAAAAATGAGAGTCCATAACTTTGAATATTCAATTAGGTATTGAGAAGTTTATATAAGTGGACTCAATTTAATGTATAAGGAAAGTGAACGATGAAGATTGAGAAAGTGTTAGGAACCCTACGTTGTGGGGATAGAGATTTTTCTAATCAAACCACAGAACGAGATTTGAGAAAGTGTCAGGAAACTTAAGTAGGGACCGGACATTTTTCTTATAATTCTTTTTTTAAATATTAAAACTAATCTGTTTTTAATTTGAATTTATAATAACTAATAAGTATTGTTTCTATCTACAAATTTTAATTTATAATAAAAATAAAAAAAATAAGCGTAATTAAATTATGATTTATATAAAAATCACACAAAACTAAATTCACGCTCGATTTAGATTTCTTTTTGCAGTTTTTCTTTCAATACGATTATTGAAAAACATAAAAAAAATATAAAACATTTTCTTTAAAAAAATATTAAAAAATTTATGATAAAAATTATTAAATAATAAGATATATTACATAATTTTTTATTATTATATTCATAACGTCAATTTTTCTTATATTTATAAGTAAATTATATTCTTATAATTAAAAATTTAACCAAAATTGTTATTATACGTTTAATGAATATGTTAATAATTAACTCTGAATATATAATATTATCTTCATATATAATAAGCTAATGTTAGTTTTTAATTTCTTATTTTAATTTTATTTAATAAAAATTTGATTTTGAAGCACTGATCATTACACATTACAAGTTTAGGTAGGGTAGATTTTTTCTTTAAACGGGTAAAAAAAATAGATATAACTTAGCTTACTTGTTATATATATATATATATATATATATATATATATATATTAAAGACAAGGTTGATAATTTTAATTTATGAGCTTGTTTGTTTCTCTTACTCTCTCAATCCAAGGAAAAAAAAAGTAGATCTGATTAGCATGTTGACTTGTTTTAAAAATAAATTTATATATTAAAATAAAAATAAAAAATTATAATTAAAAATATTTTTGTTGTAATTGTATTAAAATATATAAATATATTATAATATTATAAATATTAATTTAAGTTTCAATTATTAATTATAATATAATATTTTAACACATAAATATAGTATTTTTTTAATTTATCTAATAAAAATATTAATTAATTAAAAAAATTAAAAAGTAATTTATATAATGAAAGGTGAATTAAAAAAAGAAAATTTATAGTATGTTAACTTATTAGTCTACCCTTTTATGAGATAGATTGACATTTATAGTCCATCTTAATTATGACATATTAACTCATCTTATTATATATTTTGAGAGACTAAAGATAGGATAGACTAAATTAGAATTGGCTGATTCGTTTTCTCGTATCATTCTATATTTTGACAGACTAAAGAGTGATAGACTAAAATAGAACTTGTTGTCTCGTTTTCCCATCTCATTCTATATTTTAACATACTAAAGACAAGATAGACAAAAATAGAACTGATTAACTCATTTTGTTATCATCGTGTTTATTAATGATCTTCTTTGTAGATGAGGAAGTTATCTCCAAAAGTTTTATAACTTACATTAATATTTATAATCTTGATCTCTCAAACTTAATGATTATTCTTAAAGTTTTGTAAGTTACATTAACATTTATGATTTTTTTTCTCCAAACTTATGATTATTAAATTATCTTGTATATTTACAAATTTGATCTTTCACTTTTTCTTATTCTTTTATCTATTTATATTTATTTATTATCTATTAATAATATATTATTTGATCTCTTCGATATACGAGTTGTGTTAAACTGGAATGATGAGTTGAGTTGACTAATTAACTCACCTAAACAAATAATTTTTTGTTATTTAATCATAAAGATAATATTATAATTAAAATTATATTTATTTAACTTGTTATGTATTATATATGGAAAACTTCAAATGGATGAAAAAAATAATATTAAACTTGAAGTATACGAAAATTGAGAAATAAGTTAGTTTTTATTTTAATTCTTTAATTTATTATGTGTTATGTACTATGTGAAATATTTAATTCTTAATTATAAATCTTAACTTTAATGTATTATGTTTTGTTAATTTAAAAAAAATTAAAAATAAATGTTTTTTTTTACTTTAAAATATAACTATTTTAAATTTTAGATAAAACAGTGACTTAGATACAATTGACATTTATCATATTACATACTAAGTTAACTATATTGATATGTTTAAAAGGAATATTGAATTCAACGAGTCAACGAGTTAACTATATTACAAAATTGAATTTAATTTGTATAATTAAGACTAAAAAATTGAGAATTTTTCTAGCGTGGATGACACTCTAAAAATGAATAATTAAATTTTTTATAGATGTTTCCAAATTTAGTCTTTAGCATAGAAAAAGGAAAAGTAACGTGAAATTGAATGAAAGTAAAATAACAAAAAAATGAGATTTTTTTCACATCATTTTTGCTTGCTCTTTGTGTTTTGACAGGATAATTTGAATTTATTATTAGAGAAATTTCATTTTAACAATGGTTTTAAAAAAATATTTATCCTACAACTTCATATCTTAATATAATATTATTATTTATTATTATATTACTTTTTATGGTAGAGCCCTCTTATTATTTTTGAATTAGTACGTATTCTTTGTTTCACTTGCTACAATTTTTCTCTTAATAATCTTTTTATAAGTTCTTAAATAAGTCATCAGTTCTTAAATAAGTCATAATATGAATAACAATTTTAGACTAACATAAAATTTCATTTTCCAAGTCATATATTTAATTAAAAATATAAAGTATCTAAGTTTATATTTTATTTTATTTGAATAAGATGATTCTCCTATTAAAATTTTAACTTTGAGAGACTAATCTTATATCTATTAAAATTTTAATTTTGAGAGACTAATCTTATATTTCACAAATGAGTATTAAATTACCCCACCTACACATTTGGTATAATTTTGACCCCAACATAAAGCTCAATTTAGTCAAATTTAAAAATGCTTAAACTATTATTTGTGTCCTAGAAAAGAGATCAAAGAACAAACATGGATGTCTTTCTCTTACTTTTGGCATATCATGGTTTGGCGGAGACTTGCACGATGACTATTAACTCAGTGGTAGAACATGTCTTTAATAATTACGTTATTGTGCTTAGATTGTGAGGACTCTTAGTCACATAGATAATTTAATGTGTTCATCGGCATCTAACTCTAAAATGTGGCTCATTCGAGGCACATTAACATGTCATACTTCTCCTGTTTGAACTGGAGTTTGAAACCAAACAAATCCTCTAGAAAATATATGTAACGATTCGGGTGAGATCCAATGTAGATCTAACTTTCTCTTCACTTATGAGATTCAAACGATTCGGGGATCACTATGATTCCTCTCGAATCAAATATATTAACTTCAAATTTTAAAATTAAAATCACTTACATAACTCAATTTATTCTCTGAAGTCTCTATATATATTTTGTTGTTTTAGGGATGACAAAATGGGTCAGCCTACCCTGTTTTGGACCTTTCCGCCTTTGGCCCGCCGTAAGTGGGGCGAGGCAAGTTAGTCCGCTATAGTCATAGCGGGTTATAGGTCTCGATCCGCCCCAACAAAAGGCGAGCTGGCAGGGCTAACGAGTTGACCCGTCATATTTCTTATTTTATTTTATTATTTTTAAATCAAAGTTTTCAATAAACTTAATAATAAAATTATCATTTTCAAGCAATTCATATATATATATATATATATTTATATATTTAAAGTTAATAATATAAATGGATATATTATTTTAATAAATTATATTTTAGAACAATTAAATTAAGATAAAATTTATATAATAATAAATACATGTATGTAACAAGTAAAAATTTATTAAATCTTTATTTTTTATATTGAAAAGTTTAAACATTTAAATAAAAATTAAATTATATTTATTTATTTGATAAAACTTCACATTGTTCTCCCATTAAGTAATTCTCACATCTTCAATTCAAAACAATCAATGTCCAGGATCATTAGATGTAGTATTTGAATATCTCTCCAGCTTTTCCATCTTTGTCATTTTCTTCTTCATCTTCAACAACATAAAATTGAAAACAAAATAGTAAAAAAAAGGATTACCAAAAATAAAAATAAATAATATTTGAATTAGTAAAGCAAGTCGCGGACTGATCCGGCGAATTGACAAGCTTGGTGGGACGAGACAAAATAAGCTAACACTGAAAGTACTAATCTATGATGACAGACTGACCCGCCAGACTTGACCCATTTTACCATCCTATATATTAACCCGACTTTGCTATCTACTTATATGTTATTCCTTTATGATTCATTTAGATTCATTTATCCAATTACTTAGCATGATTCTATTAGAATTAAATTTATAAGATTCGGATGATTGTAGACCAACCAAACAAATATTATTATTTAGAGTTTAATAGACATATTAAGTGGTACAAAATTATTAATATAATAAAGTCCCACATCAATTAATAAAAAAAACATGTACTTAAATTATAACTTTATCATTCAATTTACACTTTTCTAGGTCTTTTTAGCCAAGATAAAATGTAGTATCTATTTTTATCAGTTTAATATTTGACTATAATAGTTTATTACGTTAACTTTTAAATTTC